GCGGGTTATAAGCGCGTTCGGCTGCGATCGTTAATGTTAAGCAACTTTCGCAGTGGTCGGTCATTGGATGGGTGACCAAAAATCTTCTATCTCGAGTTCCTCCGTGCTTCGGAAGGCACGTAAAGCCGTTGGTCCCGGCTGCATCTGCAGTCGTTAGCACCCGCCAATCCGCACTGGGCCCGCGTGGTGGGTCATGGCCCAATCTACCTATACCATCTATAGGGAAAGCTTTTACCCCAGCAGTGGGGACATTAATAGGCTAATAATGATGATGATGAACTAAAAGAAAAACTGACTTCACAGAAATAAGTCATTTTATACATTTTATTTACTTACATCTTGAGTATATTTAAAGTCAAATTTTCATTTGGTGCCATGCCAACTCAAGCAGTCCTAAATGGCAAATCAGATCTGTCTCCACTCAAAATGTTAATTTGACCCTAGCACTACTAAATATAATAAGTAAAGAAGCGTGCGGGTTCGAGTCCCGTCTGCTGCCTAGTCCGCGTGGATTTTTTTCTAGTAATATTTTCTTTAGATTTAAACATCGAGCAGTTACATGCTTAAATATCAAAATTATATCTATGCTATGTCTTCTTTCAAATGTTTAATACTTGTAAAGGTATTCATTTGACATTGTGGGTTATCTACAATACGAAGAGATGGCGCTGCCTTGCAGCTTAAGAAAGACTAGAAATAATTCGATACGGCCAACAGGGCCGCGGTAGAATAATGGTCAGTGCATTCGCCCGAATAGCGAAGGGTGCGGGTTCGAGTCCCGTCTGCTGCCTGGTCCGCGTGGAATTTTATCTAGTAATATTTTCTTTAGATTTAAACATTGAGCAGTTACATGCTTAAAAAATCAAAATTATAAGTAAAGTATATTATTCATTTTTAGTCGTTTTGTTTTTATAAAGATGGATTTATGTTTGTTAAAATCAAAGCAACATCGACTTAGTATGTCCTGGTCTGCATTATTTCTTTCATATACCTGCGTAATATTATGATATTCCACTGCGTACGTCTGTCTGTCTGGTCTGGGGTGATAAACACAAAACAGGCTTGAATTATTTTTATCCCATCCATCACACGTCATAAGGATAATGTCTAGCACAAACAAGGAAAACCATCCAAATATTTAATTATTCAATTGTAATTTATCATCACAAATGTGGTCTAATTAATAATTACATTACTTAAGATTAAATACCACATAAACAAACGTCAATTAATATGATATTAATGTCATATATAAAAATGGAACAGTTGAGCAATAATATTGATTTGATACTATAAACAAATATACTTAATACCAAAATTTATTATGATTATGATGATGAAAAAGGATTAATTGTGATTTTAAATTTTATTGCAGATTCTTATTTTTGATTATAATACACATGTTGAATAGCATAAAACAATAATAAATCAGAGTTCAATATAATGATATCTTTCGTATTCTGATGGGTCTGCCGAGATTTTGCAGTGCTTCGACAATGTTCGCGGAGGCTGGGGTATCGGACTTCTATGCTGTTATTAGGGCGCGCATAGCTTCTTTTTGGGAGGGACTGCGTTGCTCTGGTAACGGCAAACTAAAATGTTTGTACGCGGATGTAAACAATCCAATTTATAGATATGGGCTATCTGTGCCCACTGATGGGAATCGTAGACGATTGACTTCATATCATTACAATGTAAGTGTATTTTTAATTAGTTTTTATATTATATTGTATCATGCTTTAAATATGGGTCTTAGCTACCTGCAATTAATGATTTTATTATGAATACACAATAATAGAAGTAATAAGAAGATTTTTTTAAGTTAGTTAAAAAGCACTACGCTACGCCTGATGACTGATATAATGAGGACCTCCGTGGCCGAGTGGTTTGTACGCCGGGTTTCAAGGTGTCGCCTACTCGAGAGGTCCGCCTACCCGGGTTCGAGTCCCGGTGGGGGCAGAAGTTTGTTTGATATTTCTATATAAATATACTTTTATATATACTGTATATGCATTATATCCGTTACCCTAGGTATCCCATAACACAAGCCTTACTTTACTTTGGAGCTAGGCTAATTGGTGTGTGTTGGAAATATTAATTTATAAGGTACTACCGATATAAAAAAAAAACTATAAAAAACCTTTCGCACACTTTAACAAGGGTAATGGTTACTATCGCAGAGCGCCAACATAAACTTTGTTCAACAATGAAGAGATGGGTCGGTTTTACATCAACCTTTTATTGTCCCCACTGCTGGGGCACATACCTTCCTTATAGATGGAATTCGGAGATTGGGCCAGGACCCACTACGCGGGCACAGTGCGAATTGGCGGGTGCTAACGACTGCAGATGCAGCCGGGACCAACGGCTTAACGTGCCTTCCGAAGCACGGAGGTACTCGAGATAGTAATAAGTCAGCCATCCAATGACCCGCAGCCGAACTCGCTAACCACTTGCGCCATCGAGCTCAGGTTTTACTTATTACCCAGTATTGTAGGCGATAACATCATTTTGTAAATATTTGGCACGTCACCAGAAATAAAACCACAAACCCAGAATTCCACCTGAACGAAACTTTAATCATCTTGTAGGAAACACCAGCTGTTGATAAAATTTTGAAATTCTCAATGACGTCACCACACGGTCGCTCATAAGTTCATACAATTTTCCTCGATCAACTGGTTTCTCAGGTTACAGACGTTGAGCGGTAGATAGTTTTGCATGATTTATTAGAAAAAAGTATACCTGTTTAAGATTAACATGAAAGGTAAATAATGACTTAAGGTAGGTCACAGTGGATTTCCAGATTGAATAATGATGATTACTAATTTTTTTTTTCGTCGACATCAAGTTGAGGATTTATTTGGACACGTATTTTTCACATGATCAAAACATTACAACGATATAATGTTTTGAAACGTACATGACGCGTCACGTCTTGTACAATTTTTACTTAAAAGTGACGTCACGAGACCACTCTCTCAAACTTTGACGCGCTTTATCATTATCATTTTGCGGTTGATTACCAAAAGGAAAAAAATAATCTAATGAATGAATATTCATTATTGCACTAAGGACAGTTTCAAGATATACAAAAACAAAGGAATCTAAAATCAAAAGGCTATTGCTAAGATATCAATCTCTACCAGGTAACCTTTGGTTAAAAGAAAAGATAAAATGAACTGCGGGCTAGTGCAATGTAATATTAATACGATAATATAAGAATATTGTTATATAGCAAGTATAAATAAGATATGGAAACACAAAGCAATATAAAAAGTTCAAACTAATCATAAGATCAGACAGAGTCCAGGTTGAGGAAATAGTCCTTAATTTTGATAACAAAGAAGTCCCTTGACTGGGCAAGGGACTTGATATCCACAGGTAAGGAGTTCTATAATTTGATATCTCTAACAAAGAATGATTTGTCTACGAAATCAGTGGTGTGGGATGGGATGGGAAGAACGCAGTTCACGGACAGGATTGAAGGAGTGAAAAACAAAGAGCTCCTTGACATGGAGCGGTGTGTGGGTGAAAGAGAATGGAATAAAGGAGTGACAGGATGAGGTAACTGACGAAATAAATAGAATTTCGTTTAATTTATCCCGCGATCGTCATCATCCCTATTGGAACGCCCGTTTGGCGATGCGATCTTACCACGATGAAATAACAGTAATTTTTAGGTCACTAAGATCTATAACGTGATTAGGCTTTCAATATGTTACAATGCTATATAGCATACACATTGATTAAAAATTATGTATTATTTACACTCATTGTAATAAAAAGCCGAATAACAATCGTAATCTATATATATATAAAACTCAAAGGTGACTGACTGACATCGTGATCTATCAACGCACAGCCCAAACCACTGGACGGATCAGGCTGAAATTTGGCATGCAGGTAGATGTTATGACGTAGTGTCACGTTCCAAGGGTGTATAAATGAAACCAGACCCTTGGTGTGAACAACAAATTTATTTGGGCGTGGTTCGAAGTGCCCGGGTAAAAAACCGTTACAGTAGGCCTCCGCTAAGAAAGGATTTTGATCAATTCTACCCCGAAGCGAAGCGAGGGCGGGCCACTAGTAATTAATAAATACAAGTATTTATTTTATTATTATTAATTCAAAACTAAGAAAGCTTATGCTATTGGAATTAACTAATTGGAAACGAAATTGCATATTTACATATAAGGAGCCGGCGAACGTAACGGTATAATTACGCATCTGGATTTTTACAGTCCGGGGGTTTCAGACACGTTGAATTTGAATCTCAAATAATTTTCAATCAAAACCACCTAAAACAGTGTTAAAATTACTAAATTTATAAATTAAAAACCATGCCTAAAGCTCACTGGAGGTATATCATTCAGTTTTATACAGCTCCTGTTAATTTTTTATTTTATGTAATGTCTGATGTATCATTACATAACACATTCTTGCTCATCACACAAATAAAAGACCCTACCGGGATTCTAACTCAGGACTTCCTTTGAATCAGGAGGTAGGATTGCTACTGTTGAAATAAGCGATCTTTAATTGTCATGATAAAATGTACTCATTTAATGATGATTGCATTCGAAAGACTTAGCCTTAGCTAAGTCATCAAGGGAAAAAACTTAAAACAACTGCAGTGACTACCTTGATGCGAAGCTTAGTGATATTAGCATAATGTGTCATACAACTGAGTATCTTGCTGATTGCATAGGTAGTTAGCTAAATAATCTTTTCATTAAAATGCCGTTTTCCTAGTGCTAGGTTATGACTTTTTCGTGCTTGGTTTCGGCATTCTTATTTCAATCACACTAACTGCTTTTAAAATGCAATTTGTCACTCTGAATGTAGCCGATACCAGTCCGGATGCCTAGACTTCGATTTAATTTAATTCTTGTGTTATTCCTACTCTGTTGTTGCAATTTCATCAACTTAACTAGTAAGCATAAGCGAACGTAAAAACGTTGACTGACACTTATACGTATTTATCTTCTCGTTTCCAGAATCCTGCAGCCCACCTTCCGGGGGCAGTGGCAACTGTGTCGTCGTCCAGAACTGTAAACCCCTACTGCAGCTGGTGAACAAGCCCAACAGGTCTCCGGCAGACTTCGATGTACTGAAGAAATCTGCCTGCGGTTTTGAAGGATCTTCCCCCAAGGTAGATAGACAGATCAACATTAATGCACAAACAAGTGAAAAATTAGGAAAACCTTCACAAAATATGTTCCTAAGAACTAGGGTAGAAACTCCATTACTTTTAAACTGCTATACTTCGAAATTTATTTATTCAAATGGATGAAAATTATAGCTGAACGATAAGTCTCAGTTCAAGCTATAATTTTGGCTTTCTAGCTGCACTGGGTACCAATTAGATAGTGTAATCCTCCGCAAGATATTAAAAGTCATTTAAAGAGTTGTTCAAAATACACGATACAACCTCTAAGGAAAAATATTTAAATAAATCTTTACATGATGCAATTTTAAATGCTCACCGTCATTGTAAAGGAGTTGAGGCCTCATTTGTGATAATTGACGATGACACAGAACAAAACAAAATAGTTAGTATAAATGTTATAATTTTTATATTTTAAGCATGCTGCAAAGCAATTGCTCCATGTTAGGCAAGGCGCCATCTCTTCCTATTGTAGGTATTGTATTTGGTATTGGTATGTGCATTCGCCCGGATAGCGCAGGGTATGGGTTCGAGTCCCATCTTGCGAGTGCCCGATATTTCGGCACTCGCAAAGTTACAATTGGCCGTATAAAGTTATGATGCGACCATCACTGCACTTGTAACAGTGCCGAAATATCGGAGACTCGCAAAGGACAAGGCATAATTCCTCTTGACCATTAACGTCCAAAAGCTCTTCAAAAACTGCGTTTTCAAAACCTTTTTTCCCGTGTATCTTCAGGTATGTTGTCCAGCACAAACTAGTTCCTGTTTTACGCCCAGCGGAGAGGAAGGGAACTGTGTGGGCCTTTACTCCTGCCCACACGTAGCGGCAATGCTGCAACCACCAGTGTCCAAGGAGGACATGCAGTTCGTTCGAAGATCAGCGTGAGTTTTCAATATGCAATACTTTTAATTGTTTTCCTTTAGTAACAGATCCCCGTTAATTTTCAATATGCAATACTTTAAATAATTGTATTCCATTTCCAAAATTTCACAGGACGGGATTTTGCAAGTAAAATAACGAACTCCATCAAGAACAACAAACAAGTCCAGATAGAGTTTGATGGATTATGGTACAAAATGGACAAACTAATTGACCTAAAAACCTGTTCCCTGTAAACAGAATATTTTTGAAGGTGCCTAATTGTTTTAAGCATGTGTCGAAAATGTTGAGATAATAACTTTTTAACACTAAGCAAGAAATAGTCGTGTTATGATCAAATACAGGTGTGCATTACAAGTGCTCCGGCCAAATATCGCTTTTGCAACATTTTTATCTACTTTGACACTTTTTTTGATACATCGTAACATCTTACGTCTTAAATTATATAGTACGTAACAAAAATACATCTGTATTGAACTGGTTACTAGATAGATACAGGCGAGAAAAAAAAACTTTTAACTCGCACTCGGACGCACTTTGCAATAAGGCGGTTTTTGTTTCCGTGGATCTATTACATAAAATCTATTGGTCTACAGGTGTGAAGGACCCGAGAAGTACAGTGTTTGCTGCGGCAGCGGCAATCCGCAACAGCCAGTGGAAAAGGGCAACTGCGCAGCCAGAGTCTCGGCCACCCTACCGGACCCAAGGACTGATTGCTGCGGCATTGACGCCGGCTCGACCAATAAAATCATTGGTGAGTTATAAATAAAATATATCTTTTTAAGTATTTATAAAGAGACTTTCTGGAACAGTGCTTAACGACATATTTGCTCAGGAAGCAAAGCCACTGATTCTCGGCTTCTACCAAGAGTAAGCGAAAAGCTTGGACGGAGAAAGAATCGGTCTTGTCAATCGTTTTTTCCATATCCGGTGCCCACAAAATACGAAGTTTATTCATGTTTTTCATATATTTCTAGGTGGAACGGCGACCACCATCGACCAGTACCCTTGGTTGGCTCTAATCGAGTATGAAAAGGACCAACAGGTCAGACTGCTCTGTGGCGGTGCTCTGATCAGCGGTAAATACGTCTTGACCGCTGCCCATTGCCTCGTCGGTGGAGTTCTAGAATTAGGCACACCGTGAGTTGTTTTTTTAATTTCTACTTATATGTGGACTGTTGAACACGTGTCATTTGTTTTACGAATACGGATCTTACAGAGTCAGTAAATTACTCCAGCCATAAAAAAAGCCAAGGATAATCTGAATTTTGCCTCTGTCCTAATGAAATCTGCGCAAAACTGCTACAAAATCTTAATACTAATTTATTATAAGCAAACTATTTACGACTAGTCGAGATGCAAAAACTAAATTACTCTGATAACATTTAATACTCTTTTCCATATTTCTATTTTACATTACAGGAGCAACGTTCGTCTCGGTGAATACGATACCAAAAACAGTGGGCAAGACTGTGTAGCCGTAGAAGGTGGAGCTACGGACTGCGCCGATCCGGTAGTCATACTGCCCATCGAGAGGACCATAACCCATCAGCAGTACAGCCCTGAATCCAGACACAATGACATTGGACTCATCAGGCTGGCCCAACTGGCTCCATATACTGGTGAGTTACATTCATTTTGACGGATAAACAAACAAACTGATGATAATCGGCCACGATAACTTAAAGATGATTGAGATCAGACTTATCTTTACCCCATGGAGTTCTGGCTACATTGCACCATTGTGTAACAGAATAAAGTAACTTGACTTCAGTCTTACGTAACATGAAGAATATTTTCTAAGGAGTCTAATACGCATTCAAAACATTTCTCTGCTGATGTTAAAAAATTAAAGATTCCATCTAAAAACATCTATGCGAGAATAGTTGGACATTATTATAAGTACGAGGGGTATCAAATGTATTCTCGGTATAGGCATGAAATTAAAAGCGGAAAATTCTGAATAAAAATTATTTTTTATATAGTCTCCCATCTCTATACACTTAATTGTCCGGGAAATTAACTTTTCAATTCCCTCTAAAAAAATTGTTTTTCTCGTCTAAAAAATGTTCATAATTTGCTGTCTTCAACTCTTCATCATCAGAAATAATGCTAGATTTTTAAGATTGGGTAACAGAAAGAAAGGGCTAGGTCCGGGCTGTAGAGTGGATGACTGATTTCTTTAAATCTGCCATCCAGCACAGGAATTCGCGCCTTGTGAACCGGCGTGTTGTCGTGTATTCTATAAAGGTGTTTGTTGAAGTAGCCGTGACCCGTGATTTGTTTCAGGGCTTGTCTAGGTAGTCAGTTTAACTTACGTGATAGCTGCTGGTTTACCTTAGGAACGGCTTCCCTAGCTTGCCTGCAGTCAGTATGTTTTGCCCAATATTCATCGTGTTGTCGTTGACAGCGCTCCCTTATCCAAGTTCTCAGCTGTCGATAAGGTATGGGTACAATTGGCTCCGGGCTAATGGCCGTCCTGCTGGACCCCTCTCTAGCCAGGCAGTCAGCCGCATCGTTACCCCTTGAGCCGCTGTGTCAGATTCAGCAGTAATACTTTGACCTTTTTTTGTGTACCCAATTAGTAAAATTCCTTTAAAATCCGATCCACTGTGGCCATGACCTTTCCGGCGAACGGGATGACTTTGAACTTGTTCGGTGGGTCTGTTCCTTTTTTATGCCACTGCTTAGACTCTTGCTTGCTCTCAGTCAATCAATCGTAGTTAACTTTACGTAATTATATTGAATACTAATGGTCACAATTAAATGAACAATTGTATGTAGACCCTTAAAGAGTGTTATAATTACTAATGAAATAATTTAATTACCCTCATCATTAGTATATTATCCCGATACCGATAATAATTTAACACCTCTGGTATATACATATCGATCATACATTTTTTTGATTGGAAGGTCAAAGTCATACCGCATGTTGAAAGAAAAAAAGATTGCTACAAATATCTTAACAATGATATACGTTTAGTGGCTGCAACGACATCGATGCTTCTTTCTCTTGCATTGGTCCTAGATTCGGTCTCTGTAGGTTATTTTTTTTTTCAAATATTGTCCCTGATTCTGCATAACCGTCTTAACAGTACTATAAATTGTACTTTTAGGTGTGCTTTGACGACTAAATAATTGGTATGAGTTATTGTTTGGCAGATTTCATCAGACCGATCTGTCTTCCGACATCAGACTTGACAAATTCCCCGCCTCCAATCTTCAAACTATACGCCGCCGGCTATGGGGCCATCAACGCCACACACTCCAAAAGTACAGTCAAACTTCACGTCGATTTGCCTTACGTCAATCAGAATGTAAGTACAATTATCACCGCGCTATGAGAATTTTGAATTTCTCCAGATTTCAACTTTTTTTAAGAATTTGCTAAAATATCTTTATTACTTCTCCGTAGGAAAGCACTACGTCCTATTTCTAAATTAATATTCTATCTTTTTATATATCTTTGAAATTTTCTTCGTCTAATAACGTTAAGAGTGCTTATATTTTAATTTCTTCTACCCCAGGAATGCCAAGTGGCGTACAATCAATCGCGTCGCAAGGCGGCCTTATGGCAGGGCCAGATTTGCGCCGGCGGGGAGAAGGACAAGGACTCCTGCAGGGGTGACTCCGGAGGTCCTCTCATGTACGAGAACGGCAGGACTTGGGAGTCGATCGGCATTATCAGTTTCGGTCCTACTCCTTGCGGCATTGAGGACACACCGGGAGTCTACACTAAAACCTACGAGTACATCAGTTGGATCCGTAGCAACATCAAGAATTAAGACAATTAAGATCAGCATCGATATGTTTAATTGAAACCTCGACTTTGCGTTGTATCTCTCTTAGCTAAATTAAATGACTTAAAAAATATTTCTTTCCAATATTTTATGAGACTATGATATCAACGGTCATTATGTTAATGATTTTTTAATTATTCCAGATAGGTACTCACCATTTCTTAAACATTTAAATAGGTATATATATCTATGATATCTTAATTCAAGGTATCATCAACGATTTTCCTGATAACTTCGAATACACCACTCTTTTTCTAAGATAATTTTGTTTTTGTAAGAAAGACCGAAATTGTAAATGCTATTTGTTAATATTGAAAGCAGTTCATGGCCATAATAATGTTCTTGCAATATGATGATATTCAATTATATTGCCTAATTTAAAAAAAAAAATTGTAATTTAAAGTGATGCTCAAGAATTTAGACGGGCGAAAAAATATCGGTATATTATATTTATTAGTTCGATAAACAATTGTATTTTTTTTTAACATTAGACTTAATTAATTATATTTGAGCATATAATTGTTTTAAACAAATTCTGTGCCGGAAGTGGGTTTAAGAAACAATGCGTACCTCAGGCACCAGTGCTCCTCCCATTTAATATGTACATTTTTAACTATGGTGTGCTTGCATAAAGGTACTAAATGCAACCATTCCAAAATAATATTAAAAGTAAAATAAAATTAAAATATAATAGCCAACTGTTTAGTGTGAATAAGAGTGCACGTGCCTGTGTGATTATGAGGGGGTGTGTGTGTGATAATCATAGACAATAAAACTTATTTACTTACTTTAATTCAAGCAAATACATATTAATTATATTATATTCAATATAATTATTAAATTCGAGTTATTTTATTCATTTACATATTCTACCCTTCAATCGACCCTTGCGGGATGCCGAATGTAACTAGCTCATTCGTACTGACTCCATCTTGATGGGTAAACGATTGATACCGATCATTCAGGTAGTCCCGAACCAATTGACGTTATTTACCACGTACACCAATCTTCTATAGTTTGTGCATGAGGCTAGAGATGAAAACGACATCAAAGGTTCTTGCCAAATCGATGAAGATACCCAAAACCTTATTACCATTATTCAGGTTCCTAACAATGTAATCCGTTACTTCATTAACCGCGTCCGAGGTGGGTTTACCACCACGAAAACCAAATTGGCAGGCAGATAGCAAATTGTTTTCTTCTTAGTGAGAAATTAGGGACGTATTTATTATTCTCTCACAAGTAACTTAGATAAAACGGGGAGGATGAAAATAGGCCTGTAGTTAATTACAGAGATTTTACGCCGCTATTATGGATAGGTTGCACTAAGAAGATTTAGTGCTTTTGAAAATACCCATGGATAAACACATTATTGAAAATGTGGGCAAGTGGAGAAGAAAGAAAGCCGCTATATCGTTTTAAAGAGTAGTTTAAAATTTAGTCGCAGCCTACTGCCGAGCAAATTTTAAATTTCAGACATGATCCAAGCAAATCTAAAAAAAGTCAGCAACGAATATTAATATGCTGTATCAATAATCAGCAAACCCGTAACAATAACTTGTTAAATTCGAAAGTTGAAAAAAAACCAACCGTGATCTTGATAAAACATAAACTAAAAACAAATCACAGAAGAATTTATAAGAAATCATTCCTTGCCGACTGTTATAATTTAGATATTAAGCGATAGTTAACCAGGATTTAAAAACAATTTGATGATCATCAGGGAGTCAGTGGCGAATCAGAGTTTTTTGGATATCAATAAAATATAAGAGTTACTATGCCGTGCATTGCCCGTGGTGCAGTTGGGATAGCCTGTTGACTGGACCATTGTTATTTTTTTACAGAAGTACAGTTAACCGAACTTCGGTAAAAAAAAACCTGGTACAGTTAACTTTATACGTTTAATAAGTCCACTTTTAACATCATATCCCGATAATTTTATCTGGTGTTCAAAAAACGACGAAGCGCGTAGAAAAATGGTGAATGTCTGATAGATAATAATAATTATAATATTCTTTATTGACATATACCTCACAGTACATTTAGGATATTAAATATGACAAAACTATAAAATAGGCGGCCTTATTTCTAAACACCAATATCTTACAGGCAACTCATGATAGGGAAATAAATAAATAAGAGGAACAAGAAGGGGGTGTAAAATGTATGGTAAAAGATATATACAAAGAAAGAGACAAGAGAGAGGTAAGATTCAAAGTTGGGAAAGGAAATAACCTCTAACTTGATTACTGAACGAGCTTAGAGTGCGAGCCTATCGGATTGTTTCGGGTAGTAAGTTTCATAAGCGAACAGAATGCAAAGAGAAGGAATATGAAAAGAAATCAGGTGATTGGAGTGAGACTGCAGGGGTTATATTAGAAGACGACCGCAAAGTGGAAAAGTACTGAATAGAGAAGCGTGTGTGTGTCCCTGTATCGGCGATTAGCGAGCCATTTTAGTTTAAATAAAAATAAATAGATAAGTATTGCCAACTCTCACACCAATTAGCCTAGCCCCAAAGTAAGCACTATAAGGCTTGTGTTATGGGATACTAGGGTAACGGATAGAATACATAAATATATACTGTACATTTATAAGTATATTTATATAGAAATACATATTAAACATCCATGACTGGAGTACAAATGCTCGTATTCATCACACAAACATCTGCCCCCACCGGGATTCGAACCCGGGACCGTTTATTATTTTTTGCTTTTCGGCGGTTTAATATTTTTCTATTTTTTCCTTAATCATAAGCTTTATTTGCTAACTTTACTACACAAATGAAATACACGATACTAATGGACAGTTTCCCCTTATTATTGATTTCTACGATGGCTCTAAACTAAATGAATTTATCCCTTCCCCAACACAAACCACCAGCATGCGGTTGCCAGCACAAATACTTTAAAAATATCAATATTAAAATGTAATCTAATAAAATCTAATAACAAAAAGTACCAACATATAAAATCACGAGTGGATGCACGCTACTTCTTTTGTGTGGAAATATTAGTTTCCCAAACACACTTTGAAACCCCGACCGAACCAAAACTTTACCCTAAAGATGTAAAACCTTGAGGGGGTAAGTTTTGGAAAATCCTTTCTTAGCGCACGCCACATCATAATAGCTATATGTGTGCAAAATTTCAGCGCAATTTTTTATGTGGTTTGAGCTGTGCGTTGATGGGTCAGTCAGCCAGTAACGGTTAGATTCTCAGACCAGTGGTCTTCAGTCAATAAATTAATTATTTCACGGTACCTCAATCCACATTCGTGTTAGGAATATTCAAGGGGAATACTAGCGTCACATATTTAGTTTTTCGATTTAAAAACAACAATGACTTGTTTGCCGGTAAAATTACGAGTTACACGGAATCCTACGCATTTAGTGATATCAAATATAATGAACTCATTCCTTGTCCAAATGTATAACTTTTTATACAATTGTGGTAGAAGAGATCAAGTGAGTGATATATTTTATCTTTATTAATTTCAGGAAACTATTGTGTGTCTATAAATAAACACTTTAAAAAAACGTTTAGTTGTGTGAGAAAAATAACAAACTTTCATATAGGTATTTAAGGAAGACGTATACTTAAATAGTGTTGATTTAAAAACGAGACTTTAGAGCTATGTACTCTTTCAAGGAACGTGCAAAAATCACGAAATTAACGCAATTTACAAACTTAGACGACACGTCATTTTTCCCGTACTGTACTCTTCAATCGTCATGCGCGTGAGCATACGAAACGAGGATAATATGACTCGGCGAGACGCCTCGACGCTTGCTCAGAACACCGCCGACCGCTGACAGCGACGATAGTGCGCCAGTAGACCAAAGAACAAAAAAGTGCTATGTGTTAACATTGTGTTCGAAAAATTCAAAATATGAAGCTGTTACTAATTGGTTTGGCAATATTCGCCGTCATATGCAGTACGAGCGGACGTAAGTTGTTTTTTTACAATATAAATTGTTGTTTTGTGTCTGTTTACCTCCATTTTTGTTTACTCGTAGACGGACCTTGAGGTCTCGACACCCGCTTAACAAGTTTTAAAGAAAAAAAAACCGTCACAACAACACTTCAATTCCATTTGATATGTATTTTATTAATTTTTTATCAAAGTTACAATACATTGCCTCATTAGGCGTCTTAAAAAAAGTTGTGCTTTCTATGTTAAAAAGCTTTGTCTATGAAAATTGACCGTTAGGGTAAATATATTCAAACAAGAGGAAGCAAACGATTCCAATTTACAAAAAAAACACACATACCACCTTTACTTTTTACTTATAAATTAAAATTTCGCAAAAGCTTAATTTTTGCGTTGGCTTTTTGTAGAAACGTGTATAACAAGTTTAGTATAAATGTCAACCGCGTTATATTTTATCATAACTGTATATTGTATACATATATATGTATCAATGTTTAATCATGTAATTAAACCTATACATAATATTAATAAATAAAACGTTGAAACATTAATAAAGTCAAATATATAACATTCTCGTGTCACAATGTTAGTTACCATACTCCTCCGAAACGGTTAGACCGATTTTTGTGAAATTTTATATGCATATTCAGTAGGTCTGAGAATCGGACAACATCTATTTTTCATCCCCCTAAATGTTAAGGGTGGTGCACCCTAAAATATATTTTTGTTATTTTTGAACAATTTTTTATTTTTATTTTTTATAATGTGGCTTTAAAAACTACATACAACCCAAAATTTTCACCCTTCTACCACCAGCCCCTATTTTCATGCCGGTACGAAGTACGCTGGGACAGCTAGTAATTAAATAATATTTGAGAATAATAAATGGTAAATGCGTTATTAAAATGAAATTTACTTAATTAAGATGTGATGTAAAAGTTTGTGTGTTTGTTACTCAATCACGCAAAAAGTACTAAACGGGTTTGGATGAAATTATTACATAGGATTCTTTTATCCCAGAAAAAGTTAGGTTCCTGAGGGATTTTCATAAAACTAAAGTTAATGCGTACGAAGTCGCGGGATGCCGCTAGTAAGTAATAAATATTCGATAATAATAAAATAATACAATGGTTTATTTCTCACTCCATATCTATAACTAATTCGCAATATTGTTTTTGAACAAACTAAGATATAATTATTGATTTATCGATTAAATTAAAGTTGCTTAAATTATTTGCCGCTTGTCTTTTGTTTTCCATTAACGAATAAGGAAATATTTAAAGAAACTCAATAAGTAGCAATAGTGGGAGTTGTCCACTGACTGATCAGTGCATTTGCTTTTCTATGCATACATGATACAATGTCCATTGCACTTGCAGTTACTATGCAGAGTGCACAGTTTAGTTTTTATCCATTCGGGTAAACTTCATTTTAACAATATTGATTAAGGCATTCGATCGATAGGTAAACCTATAGATGCTTGCAAATCCAGATCAATATTAGTCCTTTAAAAGTTTACCACAAGCGCTAAAGCTAAGGCTTCTGCTGAAAATAAGCGAAACACACCTTGACATAACTTATATTGTTTAGCACAAAATATCTGTGTAATTTAAGTTTTAGTTTTTTTTATTTTGTAATTTGCGCCATATAAATATTTTTATTATTATTATCAAATAGGCGTCGCCTACCCTGCATGTCCATCAATTAACCCTTCAATCTTTTGAAATCTTACTAACGACAGAAGCACAACACTACCAACAGCTTGTGTTATTTCTGATATGAGGTCAGAGGGGTGATCATAAACCGTTTGTACGGGAACCGATGTCGCCGCCCCCACTACACTTCCACCTAATAGATAATAGCCAATCAAACGACACGACATCAAACAACCGAACCAATCAGTGTTTAAACCCGAGAGCAACGGTGCAATCAGAACTAAGTTTTAGTCAAGTTATGAGCATTTGCTCACACATTACAGTGGCGCGCCTGCGTGGTGCTACAATTCAAGTAGGAAATCTGCTGTAATACTCCTCTTTTATGTACGCCATCTTATAAGTTTTACTACATTGCAAATGGTAGAATTCTCTTGAGCTTTATAATGTTATCTTGCGACAGAAAAGTTAGAAAAAACATCAGACTGAAATGTCTGTGCTGTTAATTTCTTCTGATGACAATAGACTTTATTACAACTTATATAATTGACTCAAAAAAGAGACTATTTAATTTTAAAGGTGATTAACACATCTTAACGACTTCTCTTTATAATGACATTAACCAATTCGATAACAAAGGTAATAACTAAAATGTTTTCGAGCCGATGCAAAATTCGAAAAAAATATAGAGACATACAGATTTTTATGAATGAACGAAAAAGAAACTTTGGCTTAGTACATTTTGTTTTTATGTTCAAAGACTGGGTCAGAACGCTACGAAATAGACATATTCTTAGATGAGAAAACGTCGTGGACATATTTACTCGTATGTTGGATGATGAAGTTATGGACATTATACCTACACTTTTTTTTAACACATACCGTGAGCTGTTAATAAAGAAAAAAAGGAAACATAAGGGTTGTAGAACCCTGTTGGAACGAAGTTAAAAAGAAATACAATAAGGGGAAGGAAATACTATAAGATACTTCCATAGCAGAAATACCATGAAAGGGAAAAAGCTACAATAGGAAACTACCAACCAAAACTACCATGGGCAAAAAAAACATCCCACCGTAGGTAACAACCGTAAGAAAAAAACTACCATGCTACATACATACATTTACATCTAGCAGACCATCATTTTCCGCCAAAATGGCGTATTAATAATTAAAAAAAAAGAAAAAGATAATTCAATTAATATGTATTATTTGGGGAATAAAAGAATATTATATTTATAATAATTTAAAATTGACATATTCATTTTATTAATTTACCTATAAAAAGGCAGACGCAGCCAAGGAGGGGAGTATGCATACATATCTTTCACCTCTGTCGCATTGGGCATAAAAATTGGGCATACTCACAGTATAATATGTGTGCACGATTTGGCGGTGTATTGTGCCATTGTTTATGTGTGAGTGTTGTAGCTACAGTTTTGTTTCTTACGCATATACGTCAAACTGCATATGTGTGCATATTCCCCCTCGCAAAAAATGGCAGAATGATTTGGATAGTATTATTTTGGTGTTGCTACTCCCTATCGTGTTGCTCTATGGCTAATTATATTATTAGAAATAATATCCCAATCTAGTAATTACGCGCCATGACGGAAAAAAATCGTCTATCCCCCATCTGCGTACAGTCCGATAAGGTACTACATTTAAAAAAAATATGAGTTTTTTTTATTTTTGATAATTTTAAAATGATGTGTGTAACGTAAACAAGCATACTTTTGCGATGTTAAAACGTACATTAATTAATAAAAAATAAATAATTAAAAAACACAAGTGCCGTTAAAAAATACAAATAATTTAAAAATAAGTATTATTTACGAAAAGGACGGAATGTAAGTTTATTTTTTTAATGCAATCGGGAGACTTCTAATGACTTCTTCTCATTAATATAAAACACAAACAAGGAAAACTTCCCAAATATTTAATTCAATTATTATTTCAAGTCGCAAATCATCAATGTGGTCTAATTACTTGAGATTCAATACCACATAAACAGCATTTGAGGTAAAAATACCACATAAACACACGTCAATAAAATATAATATTACTTGTAATACTTGTCATGTAATAATGAAACAGTTGAGGAAATTTATTGAACCTGTTGCTACAAAGTAGCAATGGTAAAGGCTATATCATTGTGAAAAAAAATATAGATTGGTCTTCTGTAAGTTGGAGGTTGAGGAGGAGAAGTGGGAAAATCTACTATGACCTACCTACCTCTCTTATTTTGTGAGTTACCATCGCAGTGCGCAAACTTAAAAGTTCCTTGACAATGTAAAGATGGGTCGACCAGTAATGCGGGTGATACATCATTTTGTAAATATTTGACACGTCAACAGAAACATAATCACTCCTCCAGAATTCCACCTGGACAAGGCTTTTAAGTTTCATAAAAGATACACCAGCCGTTCATAAATTTTTGAAATTCGATATGACATCACCTCGATCGCTCATTAAGCTCATGCAGTTTTCCTCAATCAACAGGTTTCTAAATTATCTTAACGACATATCATCGGATCAGGGCGAAAGACGCCGACCAATAGATTTATCGGTCGGTTACGGATATAAAAAAAGTACACGAAATTGTTTTACTCGATTATGAGAAATAATAATGAATTAAGAGGGATAGGTCACAGCGGATTTTCCGCTTGAATTGGAGCACCCGGTTGGCGAAACAACCCGCTTTTATAAGACCATAATAAAATAACTGTTGCGGTCCATAGGTGCTTCAATGACCCCTGTGTCGGTAGACCCCTTACCAGGTGGACTGACGTCATCAAGCGAGTCGGGGGCACCCACTGGATGCGGGAAGCGCAGGACCGTTGTGTATAGAAATCCCTTGTGGAGGCTTATGTCCAATAGTGGACGCCCATCGCCTGATGATCATAATTTTTTTTCGACAGCCAAAATGTTTAATAGCTTGTTCCAGTGTAGGTAGTTATTTTCCAAAGCTAAGTCACCTTGATGCTAAGATTAGTGATTTTAGCATAATGTGTTATTCAACTAAGTATCTAGTCGATTACATAGTTATTTTATAATCTTTTCATTAAAATGCCGTTTGCTAAGTGCTCCGAGATTATGCCATTTTTCGTGGGTAGTTTTGCGATTGCATTTTTATTGCAATCGCAATAAGTGCTTTCTGCTTCTTAACTACAATTTGCCAGTCGATATATGTAGTGGAATCCAGTCCATTTGCCTAAACTTTAATAGCGCGCTCCAGAGACGACTATTTAATTCAATTGTTGTCAAAAGTGACGGTTATTATTTTATTCTATTATTACAAACTCATCAAACCAAGCTACTCGTAGTTAGGCTCAGAAAACATGGAAAAATAATCACTCCTTCTGATATTCATACATTCTCGTTTCCAGAATCCTGCAGCCCACCTTCTGGTGGCAGTGGCAACTGTGTGGTCATTCAGAACTGTGCACCCCTACTGCAGCTGGTGAACAAGCCCAATAGAACCCCAGCAGACTTCGATATACTGAGGAAATCCGCCTGCGGTTTCGAAGGATCTTCCCCGAAGGTAGACAGACAAAGAAACATTAATGCACAAACAAGTGAAAAGTTAGGAAAACCTTCATAAATTATGTTCCCAAGATCTCGGTTAATAACACCACTTTTTTTTTACTAAACTTCCAACTTATAGCTCATCTATAACTTCCAGTTGTAGCTATAATGATGGCTTCCATGTTGCACTGGGTACCAATTAGATAGTATAATATCATTTAAGATGAACTTGGATTTTATAAAAAAAAAAATATAACTCAAAGTAAGTAAGATTACATTCAAATGAAAATAAATACAAACCAGCACAATCACGATTAAGGAGCTAAATATAAACACGTTCAACAGCAACATACAAATACAAAGTTCATTTAGTTCAATGTACCGCGTAGAAAATGACTTTACACTGAAATTGTCTAAAATGAATCAATCATAAGTGAATACTAATTATGGTTTACAATTTTCAATTTACAAAGAACTAAGAATGGCGTACAAATTTTGAGAGCTCCCCAAAATTAAAAATAATAAAAATGGAAAAACCCATAATTGATTTTAAAAAACTATCAAGTCACGCACCTTACTCCTTAATGAAGTTAGCAAAAATTTAACAGCGTAAGATAGATGTGCATTATTCTATTATACATTGTTCAAAATATTACTTTTAAAGCTAAACTTCATCGCGGACAGACTGAACGAATCGATTCGCTTCGCAACAAGTCTAGACTTTTGTTGCTACTTTTAGAATAATTAATAAAGGACAATACATAATCGGCTTACTTCGGCTTCTGAGAATATTACTATTCATTACCCAGTCGTCTTTTGCTCTTAAAAGAGGACTATAATTAGATATATATTATAATGTTCATTGGTTAACGGATTGCCATTGTTATTATCATGAATCTTACTAGCAAAAGCAACACAACACTTCTTTTCTTTCGATGCTGCAGTTGCTTATAAATCGGAAGATACTTTCCCAGACAGGAATGCTCAATAGCGAACACTTGATGTTAAGTGTTGGAGTTCAGACTCGAAGACAGCAAGCAGTTTAACGTGCCACACCAGCCATCCCCACCTTGATGGCCTGCAAGGTGCTACAGGCTACTCCACGCCTCTTTTTAATGGACTAGGGTTGAAGGATGGAGTAAGATTCTTAAAACTGTGTTTAAAAGCCTGTTTCTTCGCTCATCTTCAGGTTTGCTGTCCAGCTACACAAACTAGTTCCTGTTTCACGCCCAACGGGGAAGCAGGGAAATGTGTGGGCATTTACTCCTGTCCAAATGTAGCGGCTCTGTTGCGGCCGCCAGTGTCCAAGGAGAATATGCAGTTCGTTCAAAGATCAGCGTGAGTATTCAATATGCAATACTTAAAATTTCTTTCTATAAGCTAAAAACCATGAATTAGTCACTGTCGTGCGAAGCGAATCCCAGGCGTTTGATAGTGTATGATATCCTAATATTTAACAAAAAAAATACCACAAACTACTATATGACCAAGTTTCTTTGGTTAGATCAGAAGAGAAAAAAAAATATTGCGGACAACTCCGTGCAGACATACAGACAAGAACCATGTTATAGATACCAAAGGTGTATGATAGTAAACTATCAAACACAAAAGGATGGGCAGTTCGTTCTAAGATCACCGTTAGTTTTCAATATGCAATACTTTATTATACTTGTGTTTAAATAAAACGATTTGTACGGGTTATATGCACTGAATTTATTTATCTGACGTTTCGCAGCCTTAGCAGGACTGTGTCTTCAGAAATAATGATTTTTTTTATTTACTTTGTCGAGCTACCTTCGAAAGACTTTCCTCAAAGTCTTTCGAAGGTAGCTGCTGAAGGTCCTGCAAAGGCTGCGAAACGTCAGATAAATAAATTCAGTGCATATAACCCGTAAAAATCGTTTTATTTAATGTGTACAAAAATATACTTGTGTTTCATAGGTTTACAAGTAAAATAACAGACTTCATGGAGCACAACAAACAAGCTCGAAGGAGTTTGATAGACTTAGCCATTAGGTCCAAAATGACACTATAATTGACTCTAAAAACTGAATCTCTTTTTGAGTGTCTAATTCTTTTAAACTTTGGCTGGAAAATGTTGATATCAAAACTTTTTAGCACATTTACTAAGCGGGGAATGGTCGCGTTATGATCAACCACAGGTGTGAATTGTTAAGTGCTCTCGACTGAATACCACTTTTTCAACTTTTTTATCCACTTTGACCGTGTTTTTTGATACATCGTTATATGTTATGGCTTAAATGAAATAAGGAAAAAAAATAGAAGATTTTAAAAGATAACCTAAACAAAAACACCTCCAACCAATCCAATTATCGACGCTTCCAAAATTGAAAAAGAAGTTAAAGTCATAGTTAGTATAACGGGATTTCCAAGATGAATAGAGTGAAGTTCTCATCAGACTTCCGCTCACAACACGTTTAAATCATTTCGCCTTGAATACAAACTGGTTCTTTAAATCACTTCTATATAAATAATATCTTTTCTTTTAGGCTTTGTACTACTTCAAAAAATTTTTGGTAACAGGAAAATCTGTCTCTAAAGGAGATAGACGATGTTACTGTAATTATCATTCTCGTCATTCGTCACCTAATTGTAGCCAAAATGACGTCTTGTCCTGCAGACGCGGATAAAGAAACTGATTCGCGTCAGCCGTTCACTTCGTCTTGGATTTGTCATCGCGGGATTCCCGCAGTAGCTACTACGATTTATTGTTAAATGGCACACAATATAATTGCTATGTCGAGAAACAAGAATAGCTGATACTTAAAGGTCAAATAACATTGTGTGCTTAACAAAGAAAAATCCAAATTCATACAATACCAAAACATAACTAATGTAAGTAGCCAAACCGCTTCAGCCAGCATTTCTGCAAGTATCGGAGTGCAAATGTAATTTATTAATTACGGAAATTTATTTCAGGATTTTGGATGCACTTTTGTCTTATCTTAGTCTTCAACAACAGTATTAACTTGATACTATAAAATAAACACCAATTTCACTTTGGAAAATTCAAGTTTAACGGGAAACAAGCAAAAAAATCTAACATTAATACCAACAAAAACTATTAGGACAAAGTAGTAATAAATATGCAAGAAAAATATGGAAGAACTAGTCTATTCACTATTTCGCGAAGAGAATCAGTTTATCCATTCAGCGAGGTAATGCTGCCAGTGTTTTGGGTACCATGCCCCAAATTGGAATTTTTGGATGACATATTCGTCTTGTGAATATGTATATTAATATTTTAGGGTTAATTTTTAATGATTAGTTTTTAGTTTGATATTGTTGTGACGTAATTATAGTTATTTGTCTATTCACTAACTTTTTTGATATTTACAGTGTAAAACTAAAGAGAAAATTGCGTATTCATTGATGCTTTTCAGAACAAGTATCTTAGTGGCATTATAATAAAGCAGTAGTGGATCACTAAAAAGCTCGGTGATTATCACTTCCATCTGTCAAAAGCAGTTAGCGAATAGGCCTACTGATACATGCTCACTTTGAAATCTTTGAAGTAATATAATTAAAAACAAAACAGTTTGATTTCCTATAACTATAACCCGAACAGGAATAAACACAATATGTAAATTATTAAGAAGTAAGGAAAACCTGTGTCATAAAGTAATCTATTATTGAGAATGACAAGGTCTTTGGGAATGCTGCATTATATCCTCAATTAGACGTTGCGATGATTTTAACTTAATTTATTATTCCAATTAATTTGGAAATAGACAATCCTTAACAACCAGGTAGAAAACAACAGTTAGTTAGGATGATTTTACATGAAGCAGTATTCATACAAATTTCTTGATGCATTTTCATGGTTCAAAATATTAAAAACGAGAAATGAATGTACAAATGAGGACGAAAAAGACAAACAACAAGCAGGCTTTTGCAAGAGAGTTGTTGACGTCAATTGAGTTTCGCAAACTTGTTGGGAGCAATAAACAACCTTAATGAATTAATCTTAATGGACTTTATATTCACCAATGGTTTTAATATACAATAAGCACCTACCTACAAACCCACAAAAAATCTCAATAATTTAAAAGTACTGTTCGACGTTATACGAGCTAATGATGATAATAAAAGCAAGAAGACAAAATTCGATTTATTTTGTTTAATACTGCCAATGCTAAATAATATCGTAATTCACATTTGCTAAAAACAAAATAAAAGGCCAGGTTTCAAATAACCGACGGACATCACATTATTGTGGAAACAATAGTTTAACGGTGTCTATCTCTTGAGATTGCAGACAATCAAAGGTATAATAACTAAGACAGATAAACATATCGGTATTAATATCATAAAGAGAAAAGATTTGTATGTTTGTAACTAATAAACACAAAAACTGCTAAACTGGTTGGTTATTGGTTGGAGCTTGAAGCAATATTAAAATCCGGAATTTCATGAATTCCCTAATTCAAAAACGTGGACTACAATTAGACTTGGTCCTTGCTTTCTGTTTACCAAACTAACGTGACAGCATGATTAGACCGAAATTAACTTTGGGCTACGTCTTGTATTAAGGAGGCAATTGTTTCTATGTATGTTTGTCACATGAGACGTATTGGTTTACAGGTGCCAAGGACCCGAGCAGTACAGTGTCTGCTGCGGCAGCAGCGATCCCCAGCAGCCGGTGCAGAAAGGCAACTGTGCAGCCAGATTATCGGTTCTCCCCCCGGACCCAAGGACCGAGTGCTGCGGTGTGGACAGCGGGTCGACCAATAAAATCACTGGTGAGTTGAATTGATATCAACGAGATCCCGCTCAGCCTTATACTATCATTTTTAGGTTTTTTACTTTTATTAAATTGTGATACCTGTAGCAGGAGCCACCGCTTTTCCATCATCGTTACAAGATTAAGCAATAAGAAGAAAAACTTGCAAGAAACTAACTCTTTGGTTGTATGGGAGGGGAGTTGAATTGATCCTGTTCAGCCCTTTACTTCTAATTCACAGTGGCTCGACCATTAAAATCACTGGTGACTTATAAAATGGGATACTACTAATAATATCTACAACAATACTATGTATGAGGATGAATCTTATAACGTCATATCAAAAGAAATACCTCTTTAACATTTATATTCTACTCGGCCCAGTAATTAGGCTGAATTTTATCCGGTTACCATGTTACCAGTAAAATTTACTTTGTATTTAGGTATATTATAAATCAAGCAATCTTCTGCATAGATGAATGATAAGTCTCAGCGAAACGAGACCAAACATTCATGTTTGATCTTATGCTTAAAATAAAAATATAATAAATATATCAGCGACATAATATCTTAGGAATCAAAACACTGATTCTCTGCTTCTGAGAAAAGATAAGTGAAAAGAAAAGTTTACTAGAAAAAAAGGTCCCGTCCGCTGCCTGGTCCGCGTGGATTTTTTTCTAGTAAACTTTTCTTTAGATTTAAACATCTAGCAGTTAAATGCTTAAAAAATAAATGAAATCATAACTATAAGTGAAAAGCTTAGGAGGACAAAGCATCGGCCTTGTCATTAGTTTTCTAAATATCTGGCACAGACAAAATAAGAATTACCGTTTGCCAAAGTTTATTCATGTTTTTGGTATATTTTCTAGGTGGAACGGCGACCTCCATCGACCAGTACCCTTGGTTGACTCTAATCGAGTATGTGAAGGACAACCAGATCAAACTGCTCTGCGGCGGTGCTTTGATCAGCGGCAGATACGTCCTGACCGCCGCCCATTGTCTCGTCGGTGGAGTTCTAGAATTGGGCACACCGTGAGTGGATTGTTTATTTCTACTTATTTAGACTGCTGCGCGATAGTCGTTTGTTTTTCGAATACGGATCATATGGAGTCAGTTAATGACCGCTTACTCTGAACTTAAAAAAGGGAAAGAAAATCTAAATTTTATCTAGATACTGATGAAATCTGCATATTATTTTGAAAATAACAGCCTATTAAATCTAAATAATAACTGCATTTAAAGCAAAATATTACGATTGGTATAATAAATATAAAAATAATGTGATAACATTTAAGACTCTATTCCATATACAATGTTACAGGAGAAACGTTCGTCTCGGCGAATACGACACCACAAACAGTGGCGAAGATTGTGTAGCCGTAGAAGGTGGAGCCGGGGCCACGGACTGCGCTGATCCGGCACTCATAGTCCCCATCGAGAGGACCATACCCCATCTGCAGTACAGCCCCCAAACCAGACGCAATGACATTGGACTTATAAGGCTTTCCCAAATGGCTCCATTTACTGGTAAGTTAACATTTTGTGAGACAAATAAAAAAACATACGCACGTATAAACCATCTGCTGATAAACGGCAACGATAGGTTAAAGTTTCTTGAGATCAAATGTGTCTATCATACGTTATCGTATATACTCACAGACAGATCAAAATAAATATCGCAAGTGTATGTACTACGCGTGCCAAAAACATGTCAAAAGGGTGACCAATGGTGCATTTTTAACGATATTTCATTTCTTCGCGTGACCGTTTTCGGCACGGGACGTCAATTACAACTTACAAAAATTGTCTAATTGTGTCAAATTCAGTTGTCAAAACGATAGAATTGAAACGAGTGGCCATGCTACATGCTTTACCGCCACCTAATGTGTTCTTGAAATATGACACGATCGGTTTTCATATAACTTGAAGCTCATGTGTCATCTACTTAAATCTATACCTGTATATGTTCCCATGGAGTTCTGGCCATATTGCACAATGCAGTAACAATCTATTATGGAATAATGTTATCAGGGTGTAGTCTTCGTAACATGAGCATGAAGAATATTTTACTAGAAGGGAAATAAGTATGGTTTCATAACACTTGTTTGCTGAAATGATATGCAGAATAAAGATTTTATCTAAAAACGTCGATGCGAGAATTGTTTGTTGCGAGAACATTATTAGAAGTATCTACCTTATTGATCTTCCAAGCTTTTGATTGGATGGTCAGCGTAAAAACCACAGATTTCTACAACTATTATTCAGTCTTTACTTTTACTTACATCGACGCTGCTTACTGCGTCATTGGTCCCGGATTCGGTCTCGATAGAGATATTTCCAATATTGGCCCTGACTCATGGCTGTCTTGATTCGATCCCTGTAGAGATATTATTTTTCTAATATTGGTTATAATTATCTATAACCCTATTTACTGTACTATAAAGTGTAGCTTTTAGTGTGTTTTGAGATTTTTTTCTGAAACTTAAATTATTATTATTATTCGTTTGGCAGATTTCATCAGACCGATCTGTCTCCCGACATCCGACATGACAATTACCCCACCTCGAAACTTCAAATTATACGCCGCTGGCTGGGGGGCCATCAACGCCACACACTCCAAGAGTACAGTCAAACTTCATGTCGATCTGCCTTTCGTCACCCAGGATGTAAGTTTAATTATCAGTTAGCGCTAAAATCTCTGCAAGGGCAGCACCACATCTTGCTCCTAAATACCCATGCCCAATACTATTATAATTGCTTGATACAGTTATAACTGTAGTTTTTAATCATCTGAAACTTCGTCTCTCAATATTAGAAGACCTCATGTATAAATATCAAATTAGGAAGTATATAGATCTTGATCAAAATCTTTACTGCAACCAATTTAAATAAAAATTGGGGGAAAATAGTAAAGAAACAGTATCGTGCTTCCAAAGTTGATTATATGAGTAAGTATTGTTAGCTTCTAACTTTCCTGTATTAATCTAAAGAATAGGCTTTTAATCCAATACACCACAGTTTTTTTCATCATTAAAACAATATTTTAATTGCTTCTTCTCCAGTCATGCCAAGCAGCGTATAGTCAATCGCGTCGCAAGGCGGCCCTATGGCAGGGCCAGCTTTGCGCCGGCGGGGAGAAGGACAAGGACTCCTGCAAGGGTGACTCCGGAGGTCCTCTCATGTTCGAGAACGGCAGGACTTGGGAAGTGATCGGCATCGTCAGCTTCGGTCCTACGCCTTGCGGCATCGAAGACACACCGGGAGTCTACACCAAAACCTACGAGTACATCAGTTGGATCCGTAGCAACATCAACAATTGAGACCATAGCTTCGACAGGTTCAACTGAAACGTCGACGTTGCTTTATTTCTCTTCGCTACTTTCGATGATTTTAAAAGTATTTTCTTTTGTAACTCCAATATTTTACGATAGGTACTATGGATTAATGATTTTTAATTAGTCCGGAAAAATACTCACCATTTCTCAAATATTGAAATGCTACGATATCTTAATTAAAATGCATTATATCATATATTAATTTTTCTGATTAATTCAAATACACCAACTATTAATCATTTCAAAGAGAATTCGGTATATAAATGCAGAAATTCTAAATGCTCTCTGTTAATATTGATAAGCGTCCATTGCAATAATTGAATATGCAAAAATAAATCACGTTTTTTTTGCAATAGTATGATATTCAATAACACTTATGTCATTAAAAGTGTTAAACAAACAAATTGCTCAAGAATTTAGACTGGTGATAGAATATAAGTATAATCAGCAGCGAATATTGATATGCTGTATCAATGATCAGCAATGTCGTAAAATTTACTTGTTAAATTCAAAAGCAACTGTAATCTTGATTAAACATGTACTAGAAACAAATCACAGAAGAATTTATAGGAAATTATTCGTTGCCGACTGTCCTAATTTAGATTTTAAGTCATAATTAACTGAGATTATTAATTTAACAATAAATTTTTGTGAGAGTATACCCTTCTTTTATTTGCGAACTCTTAAAATATTCATTCGCATAATAATTGGTTAATATATAGTATCAAAGTAGACAATAGGCTGGTCTAAAATATAGTTTTTTTTTTAAATAAAGATTTTACAATGTGGTACTTATAATCTAAATAAAAAAAAACTTTCTGATTCAACAAAATAATTATATAGATATTTATCTATATAATTATTTTATTGATTTGTATAGATAGATTGAACACATTATATTTAGAATCATAATAATAGCTTTTAATTGATTCGACTATAGCTGTTTAATACGTATATAACTACCTCATAAAGTTAATATCTTCGATAAACCGTTTCTAACGTGGAATCAACCAAGTGGCTGTAAATATGTGAGTATATCTTTTATTATACCTAAATTCCGAACAAAAATTAACTAATAGTTATTCGCATCATAATCATATATTAGGGATAGCCGTCATATTGGGTTTTCCACTTATTCCAGTAGTATAACTGTTTTACGACTTGGTAAGAACTTTACCAAAGTTTGCCTTTAAATAAGACATATGAATAAAACAACAACTGACTTACCTCTGGCATTGGTTGCTGCGTCAGCTATTTTCTGAAACGCGTCCAAAAACGCCGCTATCGCGACGAGTGCTGATCTGAAAACAAATAATAAAATGTTTGAAGTTCCTTAACAATTCCTCAATTACTATAATTATTAAGTCTTTAATTTACTTCGCATTTTTTTTGCCGCTTCAGTTATCTTTACAACTGGACTCCGCTCAAACTAAACATAAGCTGTTGTAATTTGCTAAGCCATGTAGCAGTTCCAATGATCACAATACCGCTGTATTTAGAATAAATACAACATAAAGGATATTTGGCTGTCGTACGTACGGGAACTATTCACTTGGCGGCACAATTCTTTTTTTAAAACATACCTGCTGCGATAAGAAGAAGCCAAAAGCCAGGGGACGCAATTGTGTAAGTATTTCGGATTATGAAATCTCATTTATTTAATAGTTTGGAAAGAGGTTTATTATCATTATCAGCCTTCCCTATGGCAGAAATAGGGAGATTGGGCCATGATGACCCATCACACCCACGGTCAGCGGATGCTGACCCATCAGCATAGCTGTTGGGACCAGCGGCTTAACGTGCATTCCGAAACATGACGAGCTCAAGATAATAATTATGGGTAATTAAGATTCGACGATCGGTCATTGCGAAAGTTGCTTCAATACCAAGATCACAGATCAAACGCCTCAAGAAAATAGATGACAATTTTATTAAAATTTTATTAGAAAAAAAAACCACGCGGTCCAGGCAACAGATGAGACTCGAACACATGAACAATGAAATCCACAATGAATCTCCCCTCTCTTCGTGGATCGCTTTGGATTGGTGCAGAACAAAGCAAATCCTTTAACTTCGTGTAAGAGCGCTGGCAGTCTGTGTCCGAAATAAAATTTATGTTCTCTTCCGTGAGACGATGTCATGGCCTGGCCTAGAAAAGCTCCCACTTCAGACTTATTTCTCGGTGTCGGCCATTCCTACACAGCTTTTAGCTTTTCAGGATCAGTTTGGACACCCTTGTCAGATATTATGTGCCCAAGAATGCTACGTCCTACCTGAAGAACATGACTTTTCTAGATTGAGTTTCGGATTTGACTCGCGAAATCTTCTAAATACTTTCTGACTAAGACTAAAACTTTTCTTTTACTTTACTGAGTTGACTTTACTTTTCTACTTTCTGACTAAGACTGCTGCAACAACTTCTTGCACCCTGTGCGTCTTATAATCATTGCGCACTGGTTCCACCTCCAAGGCGTGCGCCAAGGAGGCTTCCAGGGTCGTATGATGTCCAAAACTAACGGCCGCTCTGACTTCGTGGTCTCTTATAACATCTACAAAAGCTTGGACTACAATGTCCTTTATGGATGTCTTACTGAACGCAAAGGCGCGAAGTACCAGTCATTCACTCTCCGTAACCCACTGCTGCAATCCTTCTCCTGGTTTCTGTAACCGTTCCTTTAATTGCGCTCGATACACATGTTCTAGGTGTTTATCATCGTGCGCGGTCATTCGGAGACGGGTTCCGCGACCACACCCGCCCTTTCGGCACGCACTAGGGGGACCGCGGTCCTCATAATGCGTGTCGGGTGACGGTGCAGCAGTATTGTCTGGTTTTTAGTGGCCCTGTTCAGGGCGTAGGTAGGGCCCTGTTCACATCAGCGAGCTCCAGGCCTGGCTGAAGGGGACAGGGAGGAGTCCCGCATCCTTCTTCTCGCTCCCCCAGTGGTTGAAGGATGAGTAAGGCATTTTCCAGACACAAAAAAAAATTGGTGTCTGAGTGCCGTCCAAGAAGTTGTACCATCAAACGTACCCGTGGTTGCTCTGGTAGTGCTGATGACCTTGGTTATCTGAAGGTCTCTTAACATTTTCGCATAGACCTGCAGTCTCCTTGCATTCGCCTATGCTCTTCTTGTGTTTGTCTAGGGTCTCCTGGTATTTGTTTGTACACATGCGTGCAGTATCATAATGGCCTTTGACGAAGAAGGTTTGAAAGTGGCGTGTGGCGGCGTTTTGGCGTTTTGTATCGGCGCATTAGTGGCCGGTGTGGGCCACAAGAAGTGAGTAATGACGATTTGTAGCGTGTGGCAGCCACCGGAGTTAACCGTGTGTGACGAGTTCATATAAAATGTATGAAAACTACAGGAAATATGCCGGTGGCGGCGTTTTGTGGTTGTGGCAGGTGGCCCGTGTGCGGTGACCCTAATTCCCCAGGCAGCAAGCCAATCTACTTTTATGAAAATGTGATGTACACTTACTTTAACGCCGAATGCAGTTTCGTCGCCTTCGATATGAACTCCTCCCACATTGGCGCGCTGTTCTATAACAATAAAAACATAAAACATTAGAAGGAGGCTGATTAACACGTATAGTATTGTGTACTATACTACTTTCAAATGGTCCAGGTATCATACACGTAAACATAACAAAACATTTAGTACATAAAGAAAACTTCAAAAGCTTCGGGAATAATACAATTCTTTTAGTAAATGTCACCTTCGATTCACATTAAAATTAAATAAACATTCTTTGGAATTGCCATATCCTACGATCATCCTTTGTAATTTATAAAATAGTATTTTGAAATTAAGATAATTATAGGAAATCAAGGGCGTATTCATTATACGGAATTCTGGGATATAATTTTTTCGGTAAGAAATTTAAAGTTAAGTTGCAAACTTATCAATTAACTATTATGAAATAATTTCTTATTAGGAATTTGAGGACCAGGTGACAAAATAACGACATTGAAAAAAAACATCTCACTAGAAGAAATTATTTTCTTCCATTTGAAAATAATAACGTTTCATCTACGTGGTCATTTTACTCATTCTCATACTAATCTGCCAAATGACACTTCATGTCATATCATATTATGTTCATTTGATGTTTCAATGTGAATACGTCATTTTAAAATTAAAATAAACGACGGGTTGCACTCCGGGAGTGCCGGCAGAAGTGAAAACTTGAATATTAACGTTGTGCATTTTTGATATTTTGGAATAGTTAGGGAATAATTTTGCACGAGTTGCTTTAATTATCAGTAAAAAGGAACTATCATTTATGTGGTAGAATACAATATTTACTTATTGCGCTATCGTACACAAACATGACAATTTATATTACATTAAAGTTTATCTCTCAGAAAAATCAACTTACATGAATCACATTTCTGCACACAAATGTAATTGATGTAACATAGGGACACGATATCAAATAGAAAGTATCGATACTGTACTCATAAGTAGTATCGGTAAAAAAGTATCGTACTCGTAAAAGTATCGAAACAAAAGTATCGATACTTCAAAGTATCGAGTACATTTTATAGAGCCTTATCAGATCCTCTGTGGCATGATGAGCAACCCCCCCCCCCCCTGGGTTAAACTTGAAAGAAAAACAATAAAATTTTATTATAGTATATATAATCAAAAACAAAAAAAGGACATGTAAGTTCACAAATTGCTATATTATATAATGAAAATAAAATAGCTGTGATTTCTGACACTAAAAAAGTGTTCATTGATATTACAGTCATAATTAAATTGTTAATTAAAAAGATCGAAATGTTAAACAATTTAAAAGTATGAAACTTTTCAGATTTGTTTCTAATTAAACTTACTTTTCTTAAATTTTAATCATTGAAAAACATGATATCCACTTATGTTAACTTGAATCTGACACACAGTTAACGGCGGCCATTGGCATGCTTCACTCAAGATTTAAAATTATAGAAGAGGTTAAGTCCGGCCGTTTTTCAGGTCCGTGGTTTCAAATAGGTATAGGTAACACAGCACAGACAGAATAATAGTGTTACACTTGAATAAATCAAATACAGTCAAGCGAAAAGCACAATAAACGGCGAATCAATCCCAGTTCCTAACAATATGGTCGCTAAATAAATAACTATGAAACACAACTTTAACTAACTATCTTCGCGTATGGACTTTATTACCACTTAACATCAGGTGGGGTAGAGTCATTTGCCTACCTCTTTATATAAAAAAAAAACAAAGCGCAAAATAAACACAGTCACAGATTGGAAAGAATTTGAATATGTCAGTTACTGACTTTATAACAACGCAGTGGAATGTTTTAAAAGGTTTGCTATGATTTAACAAGATGGCGTTGCCATCAATATGAGGCGCTTATCCAAATTTTTAAAGGTATCGATACTTGCCAAAAAGTACTCATTTAGTAAAAGTATCGAATACAAAGTATCGAGTACAAAAGTATCGGTATCGAAAGGAAAAGTACTCGATACCACAAAGTATCGATACTTTTTTCGTGTCCCTAGATGTAAGTTGACCTAGCAACATCTATTGTAAAAAAAATGCATTTTCTTCGCAATAAAGCTGCCACCTGGACGTCCTAGTTAGAGAATTGTTATTATAATACGATCAAAATAAAATATTACTATGTTTCATCCAATATATTGAAAGTCAACAACCACCTTTCCAATTTTATTGTTTCCGTCTTACGAATTTTCGATCAAGCCACGTGTCCTGACGCGAGTTTAACATTTTTTACCCATTACAAAAAAAGTGTACAACGCCGCTAAAGAAGTTTTCACTTCCAAAAAAAATACATATTCTGAATAATTTATGAAATATGGAGTCACGCTATTTTAGACCCACAGCTGTCAATCGGTATAAATTTATTCTTTGGAACGACGACACAGTGTATAAGAATCGCTGCAATCATTTAACACCAGCCAACAATATGAAGCAAATTGCACCATCCGTCATACTGTCACGTTGATACTAGCCAACCTTTGTATCCAATATCTATTGTGTCTCCCAAGCTAGACTGGGAGCGAAATAAATACATAGAAGAGAGCCAGCTGCTATATTTTAACTCTCCCATCTGCGGGTCGGTTAAAGGTCTTAGGTTTAAAATTTTATTTACATACAGCGTTAACATAGAGGAGCTCGAAGACTCAGGTGGTTAGCGCATTCGGCCTGCGATCTTAAAAGTTAAGCAACTTTCGCAATTGTCGGTCATTGGATGGATGACCAAAAACTTATTATCTTGAGCTCCTCTATGCTTCTATGCTTCGAAAGGCACGTTAAGCCGTTGGTAACCAAACACCCACCAGCCCGCATTAAGCACGCGTGGTGGGTCATGACCTAGTCTCACTGTATCATCCATAGAGAAGGTCTATGCCCCTGCAGTGAGGACATTAATACAGGTACTGGTGATGATGATGATGATGACAGCGATAACTAAAAAGGCACAAAAACACGTATTTTGTATTATTTGAAGGCAATTATATAGTTTATACCATTCAAAAGATTGTACAACCTACCAAGCATTCCATCGATTCTGTGAGACGGACGGAGTTTCTCAAATGCTATAAAGAATTTCGGGTCTAATTAAAAAAATATAGAAATAGATTAGATACCTTTTTTCTCAAGTGTTGAACGACCGATTAGTTGTTGCCTAAAAACAAGAATTCATTGTTTCGTTACAAAGTCCGATAAAAAAATGAAGGTACTTTCAAAGTTAAGAACGTCCAATAACGTAACAATACTTAATAAGTCCGTTAGGCCACCGTAAAAGACGCCGATACCGCCGAATTCAATAAACCGCCAGCCCGTGAACGACCAGCCAGTCCTACAAGTCATTTGCCCACAAAAACCGTGGACACGGTCACCGTTACAACCATAACCGTAATGTTCAAATAATACTTCGTGAAATCGTAACGATGTCGACTTAAGGCGTGGTACACACAGCGGTGACGGACTTGAATTCAGGCTGGAAGTTGGAGCAACAGTGAAAATGACGCACACGACGACATAATATATGACAATGACACACTCAAAAACAAGTGCCTATTAATATGACCCATATTGATTTTTCGATGCTAAGATTAATTTTTTTTACAAATATGCTACCCCATTTATGAACCAGAAACCACACCAATGGGTCGCCTTCTGAATTTTTGAACAGTTTTTGAATACTATTAGTTGACAGATTCTTGAATCTGCGAGGGAAAATTAGCAGTGCTTTGAATGTTTTGTTAAGTATAGTCTATATAAATTAAGTTATTAGTATCACGTATAATAACACTTATGTAAAGATATGAAATTGATTCACATTTGAATAATGTAACACAATAATTACACAGTCGATAGCGCTAGCCAAATCTAAACTTCATTTCCGAAAAGGAAACGACTAACGACGTTGCATTATCGATGAAATCACGCAAATACAGGAATCGCGTCTAAATTTGCGAAATTCACGGACAGGCACGTTCGTGTGACCTCAGCTTAACTATCACTTGTGGTAATAATGACTGAACTACCCAAAGTACTGATTTCCTGTACTTCGCGCTGTTCTTTAAATTGAAAAAAGTTAAGATTGTTGTTATTATTGTTATAACAAAAAATATGCTGACTATCTAGCTTAACAGTACTTTAATCAAAAATTTTAATAGATGGTAATTTTCTTTGATTGATGTTCAGTATTGTTTAGACTGAATTAACTGTTGATTTTATGGGAAAATGTACTGTACTTGATGGCATTCACTTTGCCACTTTTTTACGCGGATAGTAAAAGTCTATATCGATATACATTCGTAAATAACATACAACCGCTTAACAGAACTATCAACAATGATTTATATATATGATCATTTTGTTTAATGGATCTTGGTGTTTTTAGACTGAATTAACAGTCGATTTATATTTAAATATTGGTACTGTACCTGTTACAATTCGCTTTGCCACTTTTTCACGTGAGCAGTAAAAGTCTATCGAGCTACTGCTACATTTGTTAATGACATAAAAGCTTTCTGTAACTCTTTTGCCTAATTGACTTCACTATTCCAAATCGAGTACCTAAATAACATTGCTTCGTCGTATTCGCATTCCGTCCAAATGAGCCTTTGTCACTATTCTGAGCATATTTTCATTTTACAAACAAATTTTGACAATCCATTCAGTTTCATTACCAACTAGGTTATCAAATAAAACAAGTTTCAACGGTATAGATGCACTGATTCATTTATTTACTAGCGGCCCGCCCTCGCTTTGCTTCGGTGTAGAGCTGAAGTATAGACTACAGTTATTGTTCTCAGGTTTGTATTATACACAATGACATTCATCTATGATTCTTCTTGTACCTGGATGCAAAGTCTCAGCCCGATCGGTTTAAAATTGACAAAGTCTCATACAAACTTTCATTCCCTATTTTATCCCCTTGGGGATAGAATTGATCTAAATCCTATCTTAGCGGATGCCTACGTCATAACATCTACCTGCATGCCAAATTTCAGCCCGATCCGTCCGGTGGTTTGGGCTGTGCGTTGATAGATCCACT